TGATTTCTGCTTTCTAGCTTTTCTGTTTGCTGGGTTAGTAGCTTACCCGCCAAAAATTTTTGCAGGCCTGCATGTGGGGACTGCGTGGGCATGAGCGTTCATTTTGGGGATGAGGATCCGTAAGTGCGTGCAAATTAAGTTCCCAAAAGTTTCAGCGTTGCAACCTTTGTAGGTCTGGAGATGAAAATTCGGTACAGACGCACACACACACGCACACGTACAGACAACCCCTAGAAAGTATGCGTTTTTGCATTGCACTGATGCAAAAGGCACATAAAAAAACGCAAAATGAAAAATAATGGAGTAATTGATATCTGCATTGATGACTAGCAGGGCGTGATTGTGGAATAACAGCTGATCAGAGCACCGAAGCTGATGGCGGCGAAAATAGTGTCATCCTTTGGGAAACTTTCTTTTTCAGAGGAACTCTTTTTGCAGTACGGTGCAATCGTCCGGTAATTTGGAAAAAATGTAAATTTGACATTAAAAGTGCTTTTTATAGAAACGAAAAAACACGGAGCGATTATAATTTCTGGCTGCGTGAACAAGCCTTTCACGAGAACGAAGGTGTCGTTGGACAGCGAGTCGTAATCGACACTGCCGTTGAAGAACTGAAAGAGAACTGCAGGTCAGTTTTTCATTCACTTTTGTGAAACGAAGTTCTTTCGCCGTTGAACTTGACAGTTGGTGCTTTCTAAAGGTATGCTCTTAATCACTGCACACATGTATTTTGCTGTTATGATCATTTTCGGTTTCATTGTGGCGTCTTTCGCACTGATAGCGGACTTTTTATGCGTTTTTGCATCTGTGCAACGCAGAAAACGCATATTGACGAGGGATTGTCTATGTGTGCGTCTGTACCGTTTTTTCATCTCAGGACTTATAAGAGCTACAGGGCTGAAACTTTGGGAACTTAACCTACATTACATACGGGCCGCAATCCCCAAAATGGGCGTTCTTACCCATGCGATACCCACGCACGATCCCGCCAAAGTTTTTTACGGGCAGTCTGCTAACTCGGGAACCAAAAATACTGGAAAGCTAAAATTTCAAGGAGGCATTCCCCGTCCACGCAGGTATTGATGTGCTCAAACCTCCCCTCCCCCCCCCCCCCCCCCCCCCCCCCCCCCCC